GCTCAGGTCATGATCCTGGAGTCCCGGGATCGAGTCCCGCATCGGGTTCCCTGCTCAGCAGGGAGTCTGCTTCTCCCTCTGACCCTCCTCCCTCTCGTGCTCTCTCTCATTCTCTCTCTCACAAATAAAAAAAATAATAAAATAAAAATAAATAAATGTAAGTCCCTAAACTGTAAGCTCTTAAAATAAAACATAAGGGGAAAGCTTCATGACATTGGATTTGGCAATAATTTCTTTGATATGACACTAAAAACTCAGGCAACAAAACCAAAACTAGATAAATGGAACTACATATAACTTTTATTCATCAAAGGACATAATCAGCAGAGTGAAAAGGCAACCTATAGAACGGGAGAAAATATTTGCAAACCATATACCAGATAAGGGGTTAATATCCAGAATACCTGGGGCGCCTGGGTGGCTCAGTCGTTAAGCTTCTGCCTTCGGCTCAGGTCATGATCCCAGGGTCCTGGGATTGAGCTCCACATCGGGCTCCCTAGCTCTGTGGGAAGCCTGCTTCTCCCTCTACCAGTCCCTCTGCTTGTGTTCCCTCTCTCGCTGTATCTCTCTCTGTCAAATAAATAAATAAAATCTTTTAAAAAAAATATCCAGAATACATAAAGAACTCCTACAACTCAACAACAAAAAATTAAATAACCCAGTTAAAAAAATGGGCAAATGAGTTGATATTTCTCCAAAGATGATATACAAATGGCTAATAAGCACGTGAAAAGATGCTCAACATCACTAATCATCAGAGAATTGCAAATCAAAACCACAGTGAGATAGCTCCTCATAGGATGGCTACTATCAACACACAACACACACACACACACACACACACAATAATAAGTGTTGGTGAGGGTGTGGAGGAATTGGAACCCTTGTGCATACGCTGTTGGTAAGATTATAAAATGGTACAACTGCTGTGGAAAACAGTTTGGATGAAAATTAGAAGTGCCATATGATCCAGCAATCCACATCTGGGCATATATCCAATTCTTGAAAACAAAGTCTCAAAGAGATATTGGTATGCCCATGTTCTTAGCAGCACTATTCATGATAGCTAAGAAGTAGAAGCAATCTAAAAGTCCATCCACAGGTGAATGGCCAGACAAAATCTGGCATAAACATACCATGGAATATTATTTAGCTTGGAAAAGAAAGGAAATTCTGTCACATGCTACAACATGGATGAACCTTGAGAACATTATGCTAAGTGAAATAAACCAGACTCAAAAAGACAAATACTTAACGATTCTACTTACATGAGGTTCCTAGAGCACTGAAATCCTGGAGACAGAAGGTAGTACGGTGGGTGCCAGTGGGTAGCAGGTAAGGGGGAGTTCTTGTTTAATCAGTACAGACTTTCCAATTTGCAAGATGAAAAAGTTCTGGAAATCTGTTTCATGGCAATGTGAATATGCTTACCACTGCTGAACTGTGCACTTAAAAATGGTTAAGATGGTAAATTTTGCTATATTTTTTTACTACAGTCAAAAAAAAAAATCTAAAAGCAACTGTATCTTCAAGGAGCCAACACTGGTTTATAGTTTTTCTTTTGAAAGCGAATAGAAGAGGCAGATGTTCTCTGAAACAAGTACGTGTTTAACTCTAGTTTATCAGCTTTTCAACTGCTGTTACTGAATTTCTATAGCTTTTGCGCTCACTGAGGTATCTGTCATCAACTTCCACAATCCAGCTCACAGCCTTCAGCCACTTCATGATTTTGTGTCAGTTTCGGGGAAAATATGAAAAAGCATAATGTTAATCCTGAACATCTTCTGCGCATAAAGAAAACAAAAACAGATGTTACGTCAGAGGGGCCACAAGTCGCACTGGGGTCCATCTTGCTTCAGGTGACTTGCGTATGCAGAATCGTGGGGGACCCAGAGCTGCCAGAAGTCTGGAGGAGAGTTGTATAATGAGCACCTGAGGAACAATCCCTCAGCTCGGCACAGGTGGGTGGCTGCCTGCCAGAGGTTGTCATTTTTCTCTGCAGTCACCATCGTTGTATAAATCCGTCTGCTGCAAAGACTGCTTTAGGGGCGCCAAGGCAAACACCACGCTCTTGGCTAAATATGTAAAATGAATCCCTTTATTTCTGATAAGCAGCCCGAAAACTTCTTCCTGGAGTGGGTAGGCTGGTGTACCTGGGAGAGACTGTTGTTTAATCTACTTTTTCTCCTCTGGGGAAGGGCAGCTTTGCCAAGAACGCTAAACTCGGAGGAGATTAAATTAGTTTGTATTAAAGGCAGTCAATTTCTGGGTAATTTGTTCAGGCACCGGTGTGTGCCACTTGGATTACTTCCCCAATTATGCAGGGTAGTTTTACCGGTCCTCAAGGGATTGGGTTTCAATACCCTGGCTCTTCTAATGACACCATCCTGGGGTTGAAGTGTCCCTCCAAAGGAAATGCTGCTTTAGCAGATTTTTGGATGAGCTCATGCTGGTAAGAAAGTTCCAAGTGTTGAATAAACGCTTCCTTATTATGAAGGCATAGATAACACCTCCTATTTAGAATCTAATCACCACAGACTTGTGTGGCTTTGTGCTACTTGCAGATGATGCATATAAAACATTTTCATCGAATAACTCTTTATCCCCTAAATTAATCATTTACCCTTCTTCACATCCATCTCCATTAGAAACCCAAATATATGGTTGATCTCACCACTGCCACCACCCATCAGCTGTAACTTCTCAGCGTCGCCCAATTATATGTTAGTTAGGAGGGTCTGTCCTGGTCCTGTGCTCCCATCCCCCATCCCCAGGCCCTACAGTGCTTCCGTATCCCATTCCTCACTCTGCAACTCAGAGAGGACCAGAACTGACCCGACGTCTCCCCTCCAGCATCAGCTGTATTAAAGAAACAAAGCCCACCCCCCACGCCGTACTCCTGCTGTGATTGCAAACACACTGCTCCTGGTGAGGAACGATGGTGGGGGCCAGGTGCTGATCAGAAGCAGAATAAAGACTGGATTTTAAATTTCAGGCAGAGAAAATGGGCGAGTTTCAGGAGTGAGAGGTTGAGAGGCACATCCAGGGGTAAGATTAGAGGTGGGCTGGTGGGAGCAGGAAGTTACCAGATGCAAGAGAAATTTGAAAGCTAGGACCATAGTGTACACAGGTGGGTCCTCAGGCTAGTTTGATGAGACTGAGGGTCCTTCCCACAACCACCTTGCCCTTTTACCACCCATCCTTCCAGGTTTCCCCCAACTTCACTCTCAGCAGAGAAAGAGGATGTTCAAGGGGACAGAGAAGCCGGTCAAAACAATACCCATCCCCCACTGGGTTTCCGTGGACATACACTGTCGGAAGTTCTAGCTCAAAGGGTGCGCACCCAAGTGGTCCCAAGGCCAGGCGAGAGCCTCTGTAAGTGAAGTGCTGGGCTCTACCCACTGTGGGGTGGAGAACTGTGGCAAACTGTAGTGGCCCTGCCCTGCCCAATGTCATCAATTAAAAATAAAAGTCTACTAAACAAAGAATATGTCCAATTGCCTATCTTCAGACACTGTTGAGTCCAGTGCCTCCATTACTCCCTCCAAACAGCCAGCCAGCACTGGGGGGCCCTGAGAATGGTGTCCCTTGCCTTTAACAGAAATCCCAGTACACCCTCACCAGTTAAATGCTGTCATCAATGTGCAGGCCCCTGGAACACTGCTCAGCACATAGTAGGTTCCCAGGAAAGGTCTGTAAGAGGTCTGAATGTCACCACCAAAGACAGGTCTGCATGCTGCAGGTCTAGCCCCATAAACAAATGTGCATAATATGCCCTGAACTTTGATACGAGAAACACTGAACTCTCTTGGTCCAACTATACCGTTGTTAGATCCCATTGTTTCACCAGGTTTCCCGAGATCCTGGAGAAGGAAGGCCCTGCGACCTGCCTGTGTGTCATTGTTAATAGTCAATGGTCCACAACCATTAGAGGTTGAGCAGGTACCACTCATCCAGAGAGCCTGGAGAGCTTCGAAATATTCATCATGGTGGCCATCGGGCAAGTCTGAAAAATCACAGTATTATCCCTGAGTTGTGCATTGGAAAAAAAAGGAAGAACAGAGGAAACAAAGTCAAGTATTCTCAATGAAGCCAATGCTTCATTCATTCATTTATTCAGCAACTTGGTTTGAATTCCTGAGTGCCAGGCATGGTCAAAGTGCTGGTTCTGTGTTAAAAATAAAATATTTCAAGGTGAATAAGGGGAAAGGAAAAGCCTCATGAAGCACAATCTCGTTACCTGGTCAATGATTTGCATTAGGTGTGCTGTGACCACGTGCAGCACCATGCTGGGTGCTTTGCCCACAGCCCTGTCACTCACCTCTCCTCCGCAAAACTACTTACTGCAAACACCTGCCACAATTTGCGACAATGCTTGAGGGATTTTTTCCCCTACTGCAGGGACATACTTGACTCTTAGCTTTCTTCCAGGGTGAGCAAGAAGTGCCAGGAAGATAAACTCCTGGAAGCATACCTCAACCAGTGAGGATGGGCAGCTCCTGGACAAGAAATTATTCGGAGTCTTGACCCTCAGTGGGAAGAACTCCAAGGCTGGCTTGCTCTATGCTGCCTCCTAGTGGCTTGAGAACGTTATGCGCTTCCTTGCTTATCTCACTTCCTCATTCCCTTACCAGTGCTTTCTGGCTTCACCGGGCATATTAATCATGTGCATTCAAATCCTTGTCTCAGGGTCTGCCTTTGAGAGAGCCTGAGCCAAATTACCACATTACTTATATTTGCCCAGATAGTTTCAGTTTAAAAAATTCCATCCCACCAATATATGTCACACCCTCCGGTTTAGAAAATCTATTTGCCGTATATATGAGCCACAGAAGATATCTTCCTAAGGGTGATCTTTGTTTCGAACCAATAAATCTCCCCTACCCCTACCATTCCACCTCCATCTGTGGATGCTAGAAATGGACATAAAGAGAGATTGTTTTTATTTTCTTTTTATTAAGAAATTTCTTTTTATTTCAATTTCTAAAAATGGAGTCTGCTTTATTTTTCCTGACACCTGGGACTATAGGAAGTTTTCTGGTATAAAGTTCAAGTCTCACCTCCAGCCATGTTGAAGAGAATTGGGTTAATGAGCCCCATGATGCTGGCCCTGTATAGCCCTTGCTCCTGTCTGTATGCCCCTTGCTCTCTGGGGTGGCCATTGCCAGCAAGCACAATGCTTACAGAATAACCTTGAAGGCAAAAAAAAAAAAAAAAAATCAATTTGCTTCTAGACAGTCTAGAAAGGAGTACACATATGGAATCCAAAATGGAAAAAAGATAAACATTGAGCTTCAGAATGTGTTAAGTGTCATGTCACTTGTCTCCCCAAAGTCTTGATTTTAGCCAGACTTCCCTCAGGCCAGTCTGAAGTAGGGATATTTTGAACTGTTGAATAATAACCAAACTGCATAAAAGGCTGATGATTTCTTTTTTCTATATTTTATGCAAGGGATAGTGGGAGGGAAAAAGCATTTTTAAAGCAGTTCTATGTAACTCTAGTTCAAAGAAACCATAAAACTTCATGAAAATCTATGCAAGGTATTTGGCTGATTGCCTAATCCTGTAAGAGAAAACACAGTGACAGACAGACAGACACACATGTGTGTGTGCACACCAAACACCCCACCTGGCTTACCATTTTCTCAGAAGCATGTATCAACTAGTAGCACATTGCATATTTGTTCACAAAAGACAAATTAATCTGCAACAGCCACGTATTTGGCACCCTCACATTGCTGGAGCATCCCAACTGGCTTTCATCTTCACAGGCGATGTGAAATCAAATCTCATGGGGTTACACTGGGAAGTGACATAAGCAGACAATTTTTAACAACAGCGACTTAGCGACCTTAGTCCCTGGGGAAAAGGAAAAGAAAAAAGGAAATTACAGACAAAAGACTGATGTTTTTCGTTGACCATTTAACACAAGATGGAATATACTTAGAACATGGAAAAGAAAAGTGAAATTTTGTTATTAATTATGATAAGCCAATACCATTAGAAAGAGAGTAGAACATTAGAAATAGTCAAATATGCACGAGCTCTATTTTGTATTAAAACTATCATGCGCCAGCCTTCAGATAAATGTTGTGGAATATACCTTAATTTCTGAGACAAGTGAAAAGTCAAAATAGGAATATATTTTTATGTTATCAAAATTAGATTAAAACATATCACTAAGCCTATTTCAAAAAGGTAAAATTCAATACAATGAAGCAAATATTTACCAAAATATTACCAGGGACTGGATACTATATTTAACCTCTCCATGTGTTAGTTTCCTTCTCTATAAAATGGGGATAATCATAGTACTCACCTCAAAAGGTTGTCATGTGGATTAAATGAGTTAATAAATGTAAAAAGAGTGCTTTGTAAATAGTGAGCTTTCATCATCATCATCATCATCACACATCATCATCACCATCATCACCACCATCATCACCATCATCATCATCATCATCACCACCAGCATCATCATCACCAGCATCACCACCATCATCATCACCATCATCACCACCACCATCATCATCATCATCACCATCATCACCATCATCATCATCATCATCACCAACAGCATCATCATCACCACCAGCATCATCACCATCATCACCACCACCATCATCATCACTACCATCATCACCACTATCATCATCATCATCACTACCATCATCACCACCATCATCACCATCATCATCATCATCACCATCAGCATCATCACCATCATCATCACCATCATCATCATCATCATCACCACCATCATCATCATCATCACTATCATCATTATCGCCATTATTCAGTTCCAAGCACTACGGGAGATAGAAACCTGAGGTAGGGGCGCCTGGGTGGCTCAGATGGTTGAGCGTCTGCCTTCGGCTTAGGTCATGATCCCAGGGTCCTGGGATCGAGTCCCACATCGGGCTCCCGGCTCAGCGGGGAGCCTGCTTCTCCCTCTGACCCTCTCCCCTCTCATGCTGTTTCTCTCTCGCTCGCTCTCTAAAAAATAAATAAAATCTTAAAAAAAAAAAAAAAGAAACCTGAGGTAGTCCTGCCCACATGGGGTTTGGCATGTTTGTGGGGAAATATGCTAACTACACAAGTAACTGTAACCCAAGCCACAGGTGGAAAGTTCCCTTGAAACTTATCCCAGTACACTCAGATATAGAACCCTGGTTCATTAAGAAAAGATTATGTCCGAGAGCTTGCACCTAATATTGCTCATTCTGGGTATCGGTACTTTGACTCCTACAGTCAAAGGGTCTACCCAGTTCAGGTATCTAACACCCAGAAATATTCTTTAAACTTGGGACTTCGTGTGAATGGAAAAAGGAGTTGCTTAAAATGAATAAACCTATATCCTATAATAAGAACCACACATCCTCAGGCACAACGAGTCATAAAGGATATGCCAATGTCCATCTCCAGGCCACTAACACTAACACTGGTGGAAGCCGTTCTCCAGAGTGTCAATCATCTGCTTGCATTCTCTTCTGTGACGTCCAGACACTAGGATGTCTGCATCTTACTTCAGGGCACTCAGGGTTAACCACCGATGGTTTCAACTCTTGCTTTTTAACCCAGCAATGGCCGCATAACGAATGCTGCAGCTGTTTCAATGCCTTGAGCACCTGTTGAGATCCACTGGCTGCTCGTCTGTTCCATCTGCAAGGATGAACAGTGGGCCATCCTAATCACTGTGTTCTCTGCCTGCTGGGGCCATGGGGGAATGTCTTCAAGCCTCTACAAGAAGACCATCCATCTTTCTTTTCCCTCTTACTGTTCCCTTTCCCCTTCTCCCTTTCGCTTTCATTCTTAAAATGCCTACTATATATTACTTCATTTATAAAGCACATATAATTTATAACTTATGAAAAATTAAAAACGCAGCCTATGCAATAATGTATTTGTTGTCATGATTTCATAACAGATGTGACCAACTGTTCCAAACAATGAGACAAAGATGACTCTTTGCTGGCCTTCCAATCACTGTCTTAAAGTCAGTCAAATGGAACACGGCTCCTAGGATAGATGATCTTCAAGGTTAGAAACACGCTAACAAATCTGCGTGTCATAAATAATATTGCATTTACAGAGAGACTTGAAAAAGGTCAGAGCATTTTCTCTGCTCATTTAAAGCTGTTCTCTTTATTTATTAAAGTGTTTGTGTTACAGTTTAGCTTTCTGCCTTTATTAATGTCTCTTCTGCCTTGAAACCAAAACTGTGCTTGGAGAAACAGCGAATGATTGGCTTACTTTATTGCATTTGTAAGTACCTTTAAAAATCATTTCATTTGTGAATTTGATTACTGTCTTAAGGGAAAACATTTACCAGCCAAGGAGAGGAATCAAGAAGAGACAGAACCTAGTGTTCCCCAAGAAGTGACATTTTGTCATAGGGAAATATTAGATAAAATTTGAACCTCATCTCTTAAAAAATAAAATTCTTTATTTTTTTTTTAAGGACTCAGTGGTCTGGAAAAAATTACATTATGAATAATTAATAATAGATTTGAAGTTTCCACTTTTTTTTTTAAAGCCATACTGATAAGCATACTTTTTGCAGAAACACCTTGAAAGCATAAATTTGGCTCCATTGAGAACCTCGATGCAGGTTTTTTCCTTTCCTGGGACCAGGTGACTCACCCAGCATCTGTCCCCACACCCCTGACCCCAAAGCATCAGTGAAGGTCAGTCACTCTTAGGGGAAGAGACCTCCTTCCAGAAAGGACTGCCTAGCAGTTGGGGGGGGGGCAACCCCACCTTTAGTTTTTTCCTCCCTTCCCTAAATGTCCCCTGAGCGCTCAGGGATTTTTTTTTTCTTTTCCTTTCTTTTTTTTTTGCTCCTCATCCTTCCTTCCTCCCTTCCTTCTTCCCTTCTTCTTTTCTTTCTTTCAAATTCTCTTCAAATGTCTTCTCTTCAAATTTATAAAATCTATTTTAACTCTACAACTAATATAAAAATATATTCCATTGTGGAAAATTAAAAAACAGAACTATCTCCAAATTTGCCTTGACCCCTAACCACCATGACTGTCTCTCTTTTTAGAAGTGAGCACTGCTTTCAGAGCGGACCTTCTGCTAAGTAACCACATACAGGTGCATGCAGTTCTGTCTGCGTGAATGGGTTAACTAAAAGGGTGTTATGCTGTATTCTGAAATTTATTTTTAAAAAGTATTTTAATATATTATTAAATCTTAGATATGAACTAATCTGTAATGTGTGTAAGGTATACAGAATAGTAGGTCGGCAAGTACCTATGCACATAACGCTCAGTTTAAGAAATAGAATCTTACCTTTGATTTTAATCCTGTCCCCTACTTTTCTCCTTCACGGTAACCACTCATCATTCCTCTACCTTTCTTTATAGTTTTTCCATGTACGTATCCTCCCTAAACAATCTGTTCTATAGCTTTTCACGTTTCTTGTACTTTATGTAAATGGGATCAAATCCATGTATGTAGCTGTAGCTCATTCATTTTCACTGTTCTGTAATAGCTCATTGTATGATTAGACCACACTCAATGTATGCATTCTACGACTGTCTATAATTTAGATCACTGCTAATGTTCTGCTATACATTTCCTTGGATAGATCCCTTGACATCTATGTGCGAAAGTATCTATGGCATGTACCTAGGACTGGCCAGCCAATGGGTATGCACATTTCCAATTTAACAGATAATTGTTTTCCAGATTGGTCATACCAATTTACACTCCTACAAGTAGTGTAGAAGTTCTGGTTACTCCACATCCTGCCCAACACTTGGGAATTATTGGATTTGTGAATTTTGGGGAATCAGGTGGCTATGAAATAGCACCTCATTGCTTTCATTTTCACTTCCCTGATGGCTCATTTGATTGATCATCTTTTCCTCTTCTATGAACAGCCTATTCATGTTTTAGGTCCATTTTTCTAGATGATTATTTGCCTTTTGGAGTGGGAGTTTATAGGAATTTTTTATATTGTTGGTTATGTATATTGCAACTCTTTTCTCCTGTTTTGGCTTATCTTCTCACTTAGTTGACGTCTTGTGATAAACAGATTTCTTAATTTTAATGTAGTCAAATGTGTTAATATTTCCCTTTTAAATTTATGATATTTTGTCTATTTTTAAGAACTCTGCTTCCCCTGAGATTATAAAGGGAGTTTCCTTTCTGTCTTCTGTGAATTGATGGTTTTGCCTTTTACATTTAAGTATTTAATCTACCTAGAGTTGTTTCTGATGAAAAGTAAGATTCAATTTTCATTGTTTCCATATGGATAATCACTTGACATCGCTCCATTTATTGAAAAGTCCATTCTCTATTGACTTGCAAAGCCAGCTCTGCGGTAACTCAGGCTTGCATATACATGTGAGTATGTTCTTGGGCTTGGTATTTTTTTCCATTTGATGTTTCCTGTGTGTGCTGATGCTTAGTAGGACAAGTCTCCCACCTTCTTCTTCTCTCTCAAGAGTGTTCTGTAATTTTGTTCGCTCTTTATTTTAGATTCATCTCATCAAGTTCCATTAAAAAGAACCCTTCCCCTGCCCCAAAAACCTGTTGGGATTTTGATTGGAATGCATGGAATCTGTAGATTATATTGGGGAGAACTGATATGCCTATGTTATTAAGTATTCCAATTTTGGATATGTATTATAGCTGCCTTTATTTTGGTCTGCTTTAACATCTCTCAATAATGTTTCATACTGTCTTCATAAAGTTCTTTTACATCTTTTGTTAGTTTTTTTTTCTGTATAGTTTATATTTTAATGGTTTTAAAGTGGTATTTTATTATATATTACATTTGTCACCATGGTATAGGCATACCATTGATTTTTGTTGTTTTGTTTTAAATATTTATTTATTCATTTGAGAGAGAGAGAGAGAGTGAACAGGGATGGGATGGGGGCGGGGACAGAGGGAGAGGAAGATAAGCAGACTCCCTGCTGAGCGGGGAGCAAGACCTGGGCTTGACCCCAGGACCCTGAGAACATGACCTGAGCCGAAAGCAAGAGTTGGTTGCTTAACCAACTGAGCCACCCAGACACCCCATGCCACTGGTTTTTATATCGAGTTTTACAAATAATCTTGTTAAACTCTTATTAATTATAAAACTATATCTATAGATTCTTTCGAATTCTCAATAGACAATAATATCGTTTGAAAACAATGAGTAATTTTTCCTTTTTTTTCATAGTACTTGTAAGTTGTATTTCTTTTTTTGGCCTTATTATATCAGCTAAGACCTCTAATACAATGTTGAATAAAAGGTGATAACAGGCTATCTTGCCTTTGTGGTTTTAAACAAAATATATTTACT